GAAGCCCTGTGCTTGTTGCTGGCTTGGGAAATGCAGAGTGTAGGGAAGGATTTGGGGGAATCCTTTCAGAGGAACAGATACATCTGTTTATTATGTTGGGGAATGAGGGATGGACAGGGGCTAGACTATATATTATATCATAATGATCGCCCAGAGTAGTGGTCCAACAAAGTCGGGTGGGATATGTCATTAATTAATTAAAAACACTCCTTAATTAATGTTTTGCCTTCCTGTAGGCATGGTGGATATTTAAGGAAAATGCTCCTGAATGAGTTAATGTTTTCCAACACGCTCTTTAGAACGGCACTGGAGACCAGTGTACAGTACTGTATAGTGTGGCTTTATCCAGGCATTTTGTTCTTATTGTCCCTGTTAAAGTGTGGTTTGATTTGGAAGCTGTGTAGTAGGTTCTTTGAACCAAAGTACAGTAGACATTTTAGGTAAAGGTAGGTAAAGGTTCCCCTTGACAATTTTTGTCCAGTCGTGTTCGACTCTAGGGGCGGTGCTCATCCCCGTTTCCAAGCCATAGAGCCAGCGTTTGTCCGAAGACAATCTTCCGTGGTCACATGGCCAGTGCGACTTAGACACGGAACGCTGTTACCTCCCCACCGAGGTGGTCCCTATTTATCTACTTGCATTTGCATGCTTTCGAACCGCTAGGTTGGCGGGAGCTGGGACAAGCGACGGGCGCTCACTCCGTCGCGTAGATTCGATCTTACGACTGCTTGGTCTTCTGACCCTGCAGCACAGGCTTCTGCAGTTTAGCCCGCAGCGCCACCACGTCCCATTTTAGATGGTGACAATTATGATATAAACTAAGATCTGAATGTTCAAAGCATTTTATGTGTATTCTATTGTCATCCTTGTGAAAAGATTTTCAGCAGTTACTGGGTTCTGTGATTTTAAAGTGTCTGGAAATAATGTAATGGTTTCTAAGGTTATTGGTACCTTATTTATATCCAGTGTGGTGTTGTGTATAGCGTGATGGACTAGGGCTCAGGAGGCCTTGGTTCAAATTCCTGCTCAGCTATGGAAATGCACTGGGGATGTTGTGGAACTGGTAAAAACACTCCCTAAATATCTCACTTACTTTGAAAGTCCTACTAGGATTGCTGTATGTCAGTTCCAGTTTAACAGTACATAAACAGTTATTATATGGGATTATTGCTGATAATTTTATTCCTGCTAGACGCTTCTATTTGTGGTGTTTTTTATCTCTGATATAGATGCATCTTTAAATATCTCTTACGTTTCCACAAGCTGGTAAACTACACCAGCTTTATTAGTGCTATGTTGTAAATGCAGGGCTGAGCTGGGGAAAGAATAACTTGCCTGAGGAACTACACTAAAAGAAGACATGAGGACGTGCTAAAGTAAGAACGCAGGGGTTTGAAATTGGTTCCCAATACTAAGGTCCGGCCAAAAGGAAGATTAAAATCTTTTTCTGGTTCCTTCTCTTTCCCAGCATAGTTATGTAGGTAGGCAGGCATATATATCAAGACGATTGCCTCGCAAGACAATAAATCCGCAGGACGATTAGTTTTTGCGATTGCTGTTGCACTTCACAAGACGATGTTTTCTATGGACGATTTTTGCAAGACGACAATTTTTCCCCATTGGAATGCATTAAGTAGATTTCAGTGCATTCCAATGGGGAACCGCGTTTCGCAAGACGATGTTTTTATCTGCGCATCAGCTGTCATCCTTCATTCTGTGTACCTGTGTTGTGTCAGGTAAGTCTCTCCTAAGAATTTAAGAAGAACCCTGCTAAGTCAGAGTGGCTTAGCAGATGTTAATGGGAACTCCCAAAACACCATGACCTTAATAGACCATTGTGGTAGCAATTTCCACCATTTAACAGTGTGCTGCACGAAGCGTTTCTTTCATCTGTCTTCAGTGCCTCATAGTTTTCCCCTGCTGGATAATCCTAGGTTCTGCTGTTGTATGAGAAGGGAAACTTTCTCTGTTCTCCCTTTGTCCACACCATGCATAATTTCTTTCTCTTTGTTTTTGCAGTGTCTCCACTTTGGAGATTAAAAGTACTGTATAGTTTGCAATTAATCCGAAAGTAGGAAGGACTCAAGTATTTGCCTTCACTAAATGTGGACATCTTAGTGGATCTGGGTCCTTGATTTCTCTCTTTCTCTCTCTCAAACACACACCAGATCTACTATCTTTCCCTATTGCTGTGCATTCATCCACTCTATTTCCCTGGCAGCCTCCGTGTGCTCTCGGGGCCATGTATGCTGTCCACTCTGGTTTAGGCAGAGCCCTGATGTTTTCAGTGAAGGCTTGCAAGAATATTGCAGTTCTACCACTGTCTTGCAGAGGAAACGTCCCTTCAGTCTGCGTTGCACAGATGCAGCTTCCAAAAGATACCTTGGCAATATTCTTAGTAATTGGCATAGGTATAAGTAACAGTTAACTCTTCACCTGAAGAGCTAGGCCATAGCCTGCCAAAGCATAGGCCAAATAAAATGTGATTTTTTTAAAACACCACAAGACTCTTTGCTTCCCCACCACCTATAATAGAAATACAGCTGCTCCCTTCAAAATAAAAGGCAGGACTCCTGTGATTTCAGTGGCTGTTTGACAGGTGACAATTTAATGCTCCAGCAGCAACATCATGTTAGAAGGAGCCTCCCCAAAGAGTGGAAAAGCATTGTGAGTACATTCAGATATCCACTGAGCAACAGCATGGAGCATGGAGCCAGCCAGTCCTTCACTTCCAGAAGTATTGCACTGTAAACTTGCTGATGAGCAAAATGACCCAACAGTCTTTTTAAAGGACCACAAATAATGATAATTTCTACTAAATGTCATGTATGTCCATAATTTTAAACTGTGCAATGCTCTGAAAGAAAGATGCTAGAGAATAATGCATTTATCAGATCTCTTCTCGTTACCCCAAGGGTGAATGTGTAGGAGTTTTGCTAAAGTGAAAAGGCGGGCTCCCAACTTGCTCAGAATACACATGTGCTATTTTGCGCTTACTTGGGAAACCGATTTAGACTGTCACAGCATTGAGCCATCTCACCCAGAGATGAGTGTTGTTTGAGGGGAAAAAAACCCAGGAGTAAGCATTAATGCTATGGAGGGTTATTTTAAACCAGGATATAACATTGGAATGAAAATTTGTACCAGATCTCAAATTAAGTTTCTCTTCCTACAGAAAATAAATTATTTCTTCTCATCTCTAGTTATGCACATGGCATTCCCCAGCTTTAAAACATACAAGTGTACAAATCTTATGTATGGCTTCATTGTGTGGTGAGTGTGCCAAATAGAAAAAACACAAATAAATTAGAGACATCCAGTGGCAACCAAAACATGAAGAATAATCACCAGGGGAGACTTCTGGAGCAATAGGCAGGAATGGGAAATGGTTTGTTTTGCAGTCGTGCAGGCAGTAACGCCATGGCATGCTGTGGGATACCAGGAGCTGTTGTTCACAACCCAAACATTTCCCATCTCTAGAAATACCCTGCTTGGAATAAGGCATGTTTTTATTACTGTTGTGAGTGATATGTGTTCTCTTGCAGAGGTGAGCAAAGTATCATAGTATTTTCTGAGTCATATTTCTCCGTAGCTGGTGTTGCTTTTGCAACTTCTCTTAACTAGATGTCAAGGGGATGTAGGTCAAGTGTGATCACTACAACCTTGCCACAGTCCTTGGAAGTTTTTTGAGCACCTCCGCTTTTTCTTGCAGGACCTTAGGTCTGAAGCATCCAGCCTTTGCCACTGCCTTTGGGGGTTTCTTACTCCTCTTCCTGGCCTTCCACGTCTCATACCTGACACTTGTGCGCTTTGACTATGGTTACAACATGGCTGCCAATGTAGCAATCGGTGAGGCCCTGTTCAGGAGCATTTGTTTATTTTTCCAGACCAAGAGAAAAAAAGTTTAACTTGGAATGGTAGTGGGGCTTGATCAGGGGTGGCAGGTAAGATAAAGCTGGGTGATTTTCATTGGTTGCAGGGTGCACAACAGCACCCCACCAAAAGCCCTTGAAAATTAGCAGCTCTTTAAATCAAGCTGTATGGGGAGTGTACAGCTTGTTTTGAACCCATCAAACACTTCCAGGAGGCTTCTCACCTGGAAAACAAGGCACACACTCCATGCATGCACATCTAGTTTATAACGTGAACGTGCTTCTTTTCAAATGTGAAGGGGAAGTGTTTCCTTGCAGCAAATTCTGTAGCAGGTATAGCAAAGGAGACACTTGATGGGGAAGTAAGAACAGGTGGGGTGAGCTATGTCTAATTTATGGGCCACTAGCCATTCTGACTTCAAGAGGCTGGGAACTGAATCTTATGAAGATAACTTTTTCTAGCTCTGCCATTACCTTCTCTTCTTTTTCTGCTGTCCTCTGCAGGCCTCCTTAATCTTTTCTGGTGGCTGGGCTGGTGCGTCAGGAATCAGCAACGTTTGCCGTACGTCTGGAAGTGTGTGGCAGTTGTGCTACTTCTCCAAGCCTTGGCCCTCCTGGAGCTCCTGGACTTCCCACCTTTGTTTTGGGTCTTTGATGCCCATGCCATCTGGCACATCAGCACCATCCCAGTCAATATCCTTTTTTACAGGTCAGCCTCAGTGGCTTGCCTCTGGCCTTTTCTTTCTCATTTGTTTGCCTTTTGATCAAGGTTTGGGAAAATTGTTTTTTAAAAAAATGGCAACTCCAAGAACGCTTGCTTTGCTGGCTGAGGGAGGTGTCTGGAGAGCTGCTGTGAAAAACAACATATTTCCAAGATCCATTAAGATCTCTGAGGTTACTGCCAGAAGATATGGCCACAGCCCTGGTATTTTACCTAAAGATTTCCAAATAGATCATTTGTTCTTTGGGTAGTCAGATTGTCTTATGGTAGTAAGAACAGTGCTGGGAAATGACACAATCCAAGATCTTTCATGTATATTATGAATTGTCAATAGAATGGCAACCCTAATGGCAATAAATAAATGCCCCCCCTTCTGCGGAAAGTATAACTAATATTTTTTATCTCAGTTTATTGTGGGGCTGCAGTTGAGTGTTGTCAGAGCACCCCAGTGAGAAGTTTTCAAGTCCTTCTCAGGCATAAAAACAAGTTCCACAAAAGAAATTCCAGCAGGGATTTTTTTCATGGGATTTCAGGATGTTCTCAGAAGAGTAGCAGGGAAGTTCATTGCCATGTTCAGAGCCTCTGGTTCACAAGTGCAGAAAAATTATCATCATCTACACCAAGGATGGGCAGGTTGGGAACCAATTTCTTGTCTCCTGTAGGACTCTAGAGCAATAATCTCCAGACATACTTGACTGCAACTCCCAGAAGCCTTTGCCACTAGCTGTGCTGGCAAGGGCTTCTAGGAGTCACAGTCCAAAAATGTTTGAGGACCCAAGGTTGGGAACCACTGTCCTAGAGGATGAAGCCCTCCTAGAGGATGAAGCCCTTCTCTAAGGCATTCCTCTAGGATCCAGCCTGTGCTCTGGAGCCATTTTTGCAGTTCTCCAACACCTCTGTACTTTACCTTCCCACAACTCAGCCAGTTAAAAAAAATTGTGTGCAAAAAGTTTCCTTGTGCCATTTAGGGGTCTGGGAATAATTTTGCTACATTATGATAGCCCTCCAGCACTCCCTGGTTTTCATCCTCATTTCCAAATCTTTTTAGAAACATTGGACCACTAGAGGGCGTGAGGGGGCTTTTTTGTTTAAGGCCTTTTTTGTACCTTAAACCTCTTTTTCAGTCAATGAAAACCCATTGTGGCGAACTTTACCATATATATCCACAACATTAAATTAAAATAAAACAAAGAAGTTAATTATGCAAATTAAGTAGCACAGCCCTCAAGCTGCTGGCAACTCTGAAAAATAGCCCTCAGCTCTCCCAGGTCCTGTTTCAGCTCTAGACGTATCAGTTAGTCCAGCGTATCACTTGTCAAACTCTCCTGTAACATTCTCATCCTATTTTGTATTTCAGTTTCCTTGTGGATGACAGCCTCTATCTTTTGAAGGTCAACTCTGATGTTCTTAAAATTGACTAAAACTTTCAGTGGAACTTTACTTGGAGAAGGGCGCTGACTTTTATGGAAAACACCCATCAATTACTTCCACCCTCTGAGAAGTCTGTTGTTTTATGCCTACTTTGTACGGAGAACTGGTGACAAATTTGCACTTCCTGTTTCTGTACTTCCACTTCTGAAGCCATTGATCTTGGGATTCTAATTGCCATGGTGGAATAAACTGGCTGCCTTCATTTCTGGATAGATCAGGATAGAGATCTCATCTCCCCTGGAACTTATTTTTTTTGCCAAGGGAAGTATCATTTCGCCTTTCCAGCTCATTTCATGCCTCTTTTGGGAGAACAAGAGGGGGTTCACTTGTTCTGCTCAATTCCCCTGTCTTCTCTTTTTACTGAGTGGCTCTATGGGGTTAGATCTGCGGGTCCAAAAGCTTTCACGAAAGCGACTTCAAAAGCAGTGTGGAAGATGGTGACAGCCGCTTTGCATAGAAAAAGCCTGTTTGTACTGCAGCGTGCTTTTGTTAACCTGAAGGATCATGTTGTTCAGTTTCATTATGTTGCTTCATTGAAAGCTAGGGCTATCCCTGCCCTTAAGCTGCCACCACAGGCAGCAGATGCCGAGAGGCAAGAAGAAGGCAGAGTTGTCTGTGCAGGCTGCACTGCCCTCCCTGGACGCCCTAAATTATCCTGCCATCGTCAGATGGAGTGGAAGATGATGTGCCTGTGCCAGCCTCGAAGTAAGTTTCAGCTGCATACTGGTCAGGTTTTATACCTGGAATGAGGGAAAGCCTGTTTGCTTCAGCCAACAAAATGTCTTGGGCTAGCCCATTGTACAGATTACCTCTCCTTTTTTTGCCAAATTGTCAGGTACTTAGTATTGCTCTGTGGACTTTGCATCTTGAACAGTGAGAAAAACAGAAGATAGATTCTAGATTGCAGTGACTTGTTTAAAAAAAGCAACAAGACATGGTGCTGGGCTCAGCTATCCTAGGTCTGGACTCTGATCCTGAAGCGTTTGCATATGGCCTAAGTATGAATGATTGTTTCTCATTGGCCTTGATATTCTACATGCTCAGCAGACTCTGTTCGTAATTATAACTATTGAATCTGCTCCAGATCTAAGCCTTCATACACTTATAGAGTTAGGCCACAGCCCTAACTAGTTCTCAGCTGGGCAAGATAGGGTAAATCTTAAGGTCTGTCTTTTTTTCCTTTTTTTCTTTTTTTAAAGAAAAGAAAATTAGTTTGGTTGAATCTAAAATTTTCACCACAGAGACTGTTCTTATCAAGCTGTGGAAGCTATTGGAGAATTTCCAAACTGAAAAGTAAGCCAGATCTAGTGGGGAAATAAATAGTTTCTTTTTCCCATCTGCTCACTGTTTTTAAAATAGCAATAATGACTGGAGTAGGGGGATTATTTGTGTGTGTGCATGCACACCTTTGAGAAATCTTGCCTTGCTTCATCCAACCAAAGTTCCCTCAGATCCACTGCTCTGTTGGCTGCATTTGGCTGGGGTCTCGAAGGTCTGCAGGCTAGACCCAAGAGGAGATTTCTTCCCCTGCTGTCTTGTCCCCAGCATCTCTGAGGTCTGCTAACTCGAGCTCCATTTTTGGCTACTGTGACTAGGATCTATTGCTGGACAAGTCAAGCCATCCTTGAATTCAGATTCTGGGAAACCTATAGGGATTTCCTGTTTCTTTCTGGGAGAGCTTGTTAAAGAAGATTCCCTTTTGACCGAAAGCTGAAGGGGATCGCTGTTTCTGGAAAGGGATATTGATTTATTGTACCTTCCCAGACAAATTTCCTTCCATCTGCTGTCTAAAGTGACTTATGCTGTTTACATGTCCTGCTGTCTTGAAAGCACATCAGACTTCGGCATTGTCTGTTGCACAAACCTGGGGCCTGTTGCATGTTCAGGAAGAGGAGTGCCTTTGCAAGGGGGTTTGCAAGGAAAACAGAGAAAAGAAAGCAGGAAGGAAGCCAGAAGTGCCTTTTGTGCAAAGGTTGCCAAAAGGGTTCAAAAGTTAACCCAGTTCCAAAAAAGAAAAAGAAAAACTGAAGTGAGAGGAAAAAAAATATGTAGAACAGGGAGCCCAGATTGCTGATGGTATTATGTCTCCAATCAGCCACTAGGTGGCAATGGATGGCAATTCATCACTGATTTATAATCATTTTAATAATAATAGAACAGCAGAAGCAGAAGGGACCCTATGGATAATTAGTGCCAATAGGTGGCAATGGATGGCAATTCATCACTGGTTTATAACAATTTTAATAATAATAGAACAGCAGAACCAGAAGGGACCCTATGGATAATCAATGCCAGCCCCTGCCAAAGAGGCACAATGGGGAATAAAACTCTCAAGGTTTGCTCAGCAGTCAGATACTAAAACCACTGGGCAGTGGTTCGAGAGGCACATTAAATCTGAACTGATGCAACATTAGATGTTGACATGTTTCTTACCGTATTTCAATGCACTGATTTTCAGATGGAGGGGATCCTAGAAGACAATTAGGAATCATTTAAAGGAAAGGTCAGCAGTGACAGATAGCTATCTCTGAAGGACAGCTTGCTCAGTTGCAAGGCACGGCCACTGGGGTACTGGTTGAGCCCTTGCTTTCATGGCCCCGTGTGACCTGACTGTGTGCTCTTGACCACAAGCATGTGTGTTGAAGTTCTTTGGCTAGGAGCTGGCTTAATGGAGGTAGGAAATTGGAAAAGCCATAGTTTACTATGGTCTACATGTAACATGCATTTGCAGTTGAGCTCTCAGAAGGGAAAAAGTACTGAAATAGTTGTTCCTCCTTCCAACAAGACTCCATTGCTTTTAAAGCAGGGAAGGCAATTGTAACCCATCAGAGTTTTTTGCACTGCAATTCCCATAATCCATCACCATCGAACTATGGTGTAGCTGGAGCTGCTGGGTGTTGTTAGAGTTGTCCGTCTCTGCTCTGAAGTCTATATAACAAGCAAACAGTGGGAACACACACACATTCCCTCCTGTTGCAATAGGTTCATGGGAAGAAACAAGATAGTGTCATGGTTGGAGTGTTGAAATCTGCCAGACCTACCTTGTTGGTTTGTTTTCATGAGAATGAGGTAGGAAGGAAAAGAACCATATAACTCCTGCAAGGAAAGGTGGGGTACAGATGTAATAAACATATGAAACAAAATTCTGCCCATTGCACAGCCCTTTCAAGGCACAATAAGAGCCCTCGTAGGAGAAAACAGGAAAAGTCCAGTGCATGACAGGATTAGCCTTTCCCAGCGGAATACAGCTGAACCCAGAAGAAGCCCAGCATCTATGGGAGTTGCAATTCAGGTGGAAGAATCTCAAAGATTATGAATTAGACTGTAAATCCAGTTCAGGAGGGACATATTCTACAATACAAACTTTGAATTTGACCTTATATACGGCACACTCTGAATAGTCCATGTTTCTGGCCCCTAAGAAACTGAATCTTGGACAAGTCTAATCAGAAGTAAGCCCAAGTGAGTTCAGTGGAATTTAATTCTGGGGAAAAGTTTGTAGGTTTGTCATCTAAACTTCAAATATGTGTGGTAGGATGTTTAGTCTGCAGATGCCATGGTTTTGCTGCAGTAGGCTCAAATATGGATCTTGTGGAAGGAAGTATTGAAAGGTTGAAATTCTTTGTGTATCTCCTGGTTTGCTCTTGCCCAAATAAATCAAGAGAATTACTGAGCCGAATGTAGGCCATGTGCGGTTTATAAGTTTCAACATTAAGAATGTAGTACTGTATACTGCTGGTTCCAATCCTTGGGTAACCAATGTGCTGGATTCCCAGAGGTCTTCACCACTAGATGTGCTGGGGTTTCTGGGACCGGATTAGCAGCTGAAACTTGCAGCTCAAGAATACCTGGGTTATTCAAGATTGGGAACCACTGCAATATATTATGAATAACACTGAAAGGATTCTGCAGTCCTGCGTAGAGTATGTGAGTGTGTAGATGTGTAAGAAAGAGATGTTCCCAACCTGATGCCTTCTCT